TTTTTTTTTTTTTTTTTTTTTTTTTTTTTTTTTTTTTTTTTTTTTTTTTTTTTTCCCGTCTCTTTTGTTCCTCAAACTAGGAGAGGAGTTTGTAACTTCATAGCGTAGTCACATCCATAGGTATAGTGGATGATGAACTTCCTTCCAACTTCTAAATCCCAAGGAGGCTGATGATATGATTAAGGGAAAAGTTCAAAATAAAGAATGAGTTTGTATTCAACCATCATGATCTTATTGGAAAAGTTGACCGACTTCCCAATCACATCACATGTACACTAATGTGCTAGGACTTCAAGTCCTCCAATGCCTTAAATTTCACCTACTTGAGCTACAATTCAAAGGCTTTTGGTGTCCTTCACGTAAAACTTGCACACATATGAAAGTGGTTGACTACTTCATCTAAAAAAGAACAGAAAATCTGACCATAACAATTGTTCTATGATTGATTTTGAGATTCAATGTTCATACAAAGAACTCATTGGGGTGTCCTTTATACCATGCAAGTATAATCCCCACCATAGATTTAATTGGGGAGCCACCAGGCTCAGGGGAGGTAAGGTACTTCAACTGTGAAAGTAAATTGAATCTTAGAACTGTACACAGGGTCTAAGCGCAAGGCTTGTTATATACAGGAACTTGAATCACTTCCGCCCAAACCTAGCTAGACGTTCCTGATGTTTAGCTGCTGCAGCTTTATCAGCAGCTTCCCGTTTCAAGGCCCTTTTAGCTCGTCGACCGGTTTTATCTTTGGAAGCATCTTTTTTTGTAGGCTCACGTGATGAACTAGCTCCTGCATGCACTGGAACAGTTGACCTAATAACTGGTCGTGCTTCTTGTCGACCTCCCCTCACATATCCATTGTCTCCCCACCTTCGATTGCCGATGCGGAGACTCGACGATGCACCCAGGTAAGCTTCCTCAAACTCTTCGTCATCATCCTCGTAAGGGTAGTACTCATCAGGATCTTCATAGGTTTCTTCCCGATCTTCAACGATCAGAGGTATATACCATGAAGCTCTCAGAAGTAGGCATACGCTCTCCTCAAACATAAAGTCATGGACGCTACAATACGCAGACAATAAATGGATAGAGAAGAACATTAATTTAAAATGATACTGCGACTCTAAACTATAAAAGGTCCATAGAATGATGGAGGGGCATACCTCCCATCAAGAGAACGATGCACAATCAGGAACTCAAATGGATGTTTACATTGTGGACATGTCGGATTCTTATTATATGAGGCCCATCGAAGGATGCAAGTCGCACTTCATGAAAGTAAAACAATGCATTAATGAAAGAATATAATGCCCATGTGTATAAACCGTAAAAGATCACACTATTCCTCAAAAAAAGCAAGGAAAATATTTGTAATGCTTCAGTGGTTGGAAAACAATAGACAATTCACTTAACCATTTGCCACTTCATTTTTTGTTTGGTTTAATTATTACTGATAAGTTCCTAAGCTGAAAGTGAAAACTAAATGCAATAGTCATAGGGGAAATGTTCCCCACACCAAGTAATAAAACATAACTTTGCAACAGACACCAAAAGCATCGAGTATGTGATGACAATTTGGAGGTGATGAAAGAGTAATCGGCTAATGACAAAGAAGCATAGACACTAGCACGGACATTGACATTTTCTAAACATCCCAGCCTTGTTCAACATATGTTTCAACACTTAGTTCAAATGCCTAATAATTGTTCAATATGCGTCTGATTCAGGTCTATTGAAATCCATAAATGTTCAATACAGTGTTTGATATTTGTCCGATTTAACAAGTATCCAACCCTACGTAGAATAGGAACACGTTACCAAAGCCGACATCTATGAGATTCATAGGCTCACAATAAGTCACCGAGTACCGAGTACAACAGGTTTCTATCCCAGTCTCACCAAGCAAGCATTCTAACTTCAATAATCAATAATTAATTATTAACATACTAAATAAGACGAGAATTAACAGATTAACCATCAGACTCTGAACCATACATTTCCTCCGACTCCAAGATACTTGGGCTATAAATCTAAAATAGCATACCTCTTCCATTAAATCCCAGCAACCTGAAGCACAATTAGAAACATTGTACCAATAGCAATATGGATACAATGAATTTTCTCCTATAAAGTTTAGCGGAGTCCCAGGAATATGTTCGCAAGATCTTAAGACTCCAACTCCAATTCAAGCATAGAACCACAATGAAATGAAATATATATGATAAATGCAGCATAAGAATTGCACCATCTATAGAACGTCAACATTTGACTGCAAAAAAGATTCCCATACAAAATACAGAAAAGGAACGGATCAACAAATTACCTAATGTATAGCATATGAAAGTCGTGCTATAGAAACTATTAATAGATAGATGAAAGATTAATCAACAAGAACAAACCAATAGGCATGCTCGCAACCCCTCACTAAGGCAGTTTCTTGGAGAGCTATCTTATTTAAGCATATTGCACAAACCCCATCATGACTCCCATGACCTGTTCCTTGAATCTCTACCTTCTTTCCCATTTCGATCTGAACAGAGAAGTTCAGCAACTTAGCAATCCTCAAAATATATTTATGCAAATGACTAATGTTTGAAAAGAGACACTTCAATAATATGCCACACCAAGGGCAAGAATTAAGAACTTTCATTGGAAAATAAAATAGCATGCGCAGGTGACCATTCACAATTTGAAAACAACGGTGATCTATTAGCAGGCAATCGGATAACGGAAATCAATGAATGTTAACAATAGCTCCCGCTTCCTACGGATCTTCAGAGTAAAAGAAAAAAAACACGCTCATCAAATCCATTCATTTAGACCACGTACTTCCTTGATATTAAAAAGCAGAAATACGCTTATCGACGCCCCGAAAATCTTGAAAATGAAATAAAACAAGACTAAACCGACGATGACACTTCAATTAGTCCTTCACCAGCGAAAATCTAGAAAACAAGATTAGATCAACGATACTTCCAATTCGAACTCTCAACACAAAAAATAACCATTTCTCGCGCCAAGTTTTACGCAAGAAAGTGTAACAACTTCAAAAGTGAAAAACTAGATTAAAACCTGGTTGCAAACTTCCAGTATTTGAACGGCATCAGACAATTCAGCGCTTTCAGTAGAGATTCCAGAGGAAGCCATGGCGAGAACACGAGGGTTTCACCTCCGATTCTTCTCGCTTTATAAATTAGATCACACAGAACCCAGAACAACAGTTATTCAGCAGAAATCGAAACTTGAAATGAAAGGAGATGCTGAAGAATTATTCTGAAGCAAAAGAGAAGAAAAAAAAGATGCTCGAGAATATTCTCTAATGGCGATCCAGAAGAGTTCTCTGCAAATAAAATCAGAAGTTGTGGATTTGAAGTCCCTTCACTTATAATTAAAATTTATTCCTAGGGTTACTTGCCTCCATTTGATTTGACCACCCTTTACAAAATTAATTATATTTCTGTATTTTAAATCCTATTTTTAACGGCTGACTTAATAAAATCAAAATATTAAAATGTTAGATAATAAATAAAAGGAAATAAATCCCAACAAATTTACAAATATATATTCAAAGATATTTATAAACAAATGTTTCTAATTATTATTATGATAAAACGAAACAAAAAAAACAATAAATATTAAAAAATAAAGGAAAAATTACCCAAAAATAGTGTTAAATATTTTGTAAAGAAATCAATGTTATTTATCGTAGTATATTTAAGAAATATGGACACGTTGCGCACTTTGATTACTCCACGTGTTCGATCTTCATAAGTGGGGCCCACTTATGGGATTAGTCTTTTTTACAAATTTGAGCCCATCAAACAGTTGCCGCCTTCGGCCCGTCTATTTAGGCCCATTTTGTAGTTAACACATTCTCAAATTTGGTGGGCCTAGTTTATGGCCCATCAAACAGTTACCGCCTTCGGCCCGGCTAAAAGGGTCGGTTTATCGGGTCGGGTGACGTGGTAAAAGCTTTGCAAGAGGCGCGCAGTTGCGTCTCAAACTCTCACAAAGCTTCGCTCTACGATTTAACCAGTAATTGCTTCGCTCTTTTCTCCGAGAATCGCTGATTTAGGATTTCTTCATGTCTTCTGTTGCCCTCTCTCATTACCATGAAAGAGAGATTGTGAGGATGATCCTCCAGTCCAGATTCTCAAGGATTCTTCTCTTCGGAGTCTCCGGCGGCAGCGCGATGGTGGTGGAAGCGAATCCAGCAGAAGAACAGCGCACCGTGGAAACGATGATGAATGAAATCGAGGCTCTAGTTGATGTGCAATCCTCTAGTTCTGGTTCGTTCATTTTTCCTTTCGTTGTATAGCATTGCCTTGTCTTCATATCAATCTATTACGATTTTGTTAGTGCGCATAAACAAATGCGCATTAAAATACAAGAAACCTATAAAATTCACCTGGTAAATATTCTCGAACTATTCTCAAGAAACGGATGTGTGTATAGACTGCATTGTCGTAGCTATCTGTTTCGGTCTCTTTCAGAATTTATTCAATATCTGTGGTTCGATGAAGCTTTTGATTTTAGTTATAACTTGTTGATTCTAGGAATTTTGAATGTCTTCTAATCGACGGCAGTGAACCTATAATAAACACTCTGCTGAACTAAGTGTCTTGGTAAGAGTATTCATTCTCCAGTTTCAAGTTATTGGAAGGTCATGTTATGAAATGAAGAACACATTCATTCCGATTTAGGCCAATCAAATGTATGAATAGTAATAACTAGAATTCGGTCAGGAATTTGGACAGAATCTGCCTATTAAATGAATTAGTGTAACGAGTACATTGTACTTAGAAAATTGATAAAAGAAAACAGTTAGAACGGAGTAGTTTGGATGAAGATGTTTATGAGTGGAAGGGTTCGGTAATGAAAGGAGTATACATGACTTCGAATTTTTTATATCACTTGGCAGGCTTCTAGGTGGTGAAGAAGTTGATCTTGGCAGGAACAAATGAGAGCCTATTGAACAGGTACGTTGTGTCGTTTTTATTACAACATTAACTTGGAGGATCAAATTCAAACCTTATTCAATGATCTTTCTGGGTTGAAAATTGTCCTGAACGCTGTATTTGTCTTTATAGCCACGATAGACGTCCAATGGATAAAGCTCTGAGTGAGGGGAACATGGATGTCGTCGATGCGATCAACGCGGCTGTGGCGCAACTCGAGCTCACTGGTATCAATGTTTACGATAGTGGAAATTTATTTATTTTTTAATTCAAATCGTTCCTTTAGGTAAGGACTGTTTTCATTAAAGTAAATAAAGAATTATATTAATCAATGCTACAAGAGCTTGAAAAAAGCTAATTAGAATATATGCTAGTGAATAAGGTGTCAACACTATACCCAAGTTAGATTCCTTTAATAACTAAGTATTGTACTTTGTTTTTTGTTTTTAAATTGTAAAAAACTTATAAACACTAATTTTATTTATATGTTTCTTTGTTTTGTCGTCTACATTTTATAAATGTTAATACAATCTTAGCAAAACTTTTATTTTTTAAATTTGGATAAGTAATTAAATGTATTTGCGAAGAGTGTTGAAAAAATATATTATAAGTTTGGGAGGAAGTAATATATTTAACCAACTTTTTTGAAGAAAAAAAAAAGAATTTAAATGATAATTTAAAAAATTGAAGACCAAATTTAGAAAATGTCGAAAACTAGTATCAACCAACTTTTATATTTAGTTAAAATATACAGATTATAACAAAAAAAAAAGCAATAAAAAAAAAAGCTTTTTTTTTTTTTGTTTCCAGATACATGGGAGATTTTACGTTCCAGTAAAATAGAAACACGTTTTAAATACATCTTTAAAAAGCACTGTATACCATTTGGAATGCCTTTTAGTTTTAGTTTAAACACTTCATAAAAAATAATAATAATTCTAAATAGTTAATTTATTTGATTTTATCATATATCTTGTTTTTTATAATTCATGAGTGTTTTTTTTTCTTTAAAAAAAAAAGAGTTTTTAAACTAATCCAATTTTTTAAAATCATTTTTTAAAAAATACATCTTTAATCAAATAAAAAAACATCATACACTATGTTAAACAACCTTTAAATTATTAATTTTTGCACAACTTATTTCAAACGCCATAAGTATCGATATGACCATACGATACTAGTATTAAAAAGAAAAGTGTGGTTAAAAGATCAATTTAGTTATTTTACTTTTGGTTTATGCTATTTTAATATTTTTACATCTTCAAGCTTACAATAATTTTTAAAATTAGGTTCAATGGTTAGTTTCAAGAAAATAATAATAAAAATAATTATATTAGAAAAGATAAATAAACAATATAAATAAAATTTAAGTTTTATTGCAAGTACAAACATTAAATCTAGACTAAATAGTATTAAGAGTAAAATAGTATTTAAAAAATTAAAGATTTAGGAAGGTTCAAAAGAAGAGAACGAATTTGAATGATCACCAATGCAAAGTATGAAGTGAAAATTTCAGCTACCAAAACATCATTGATTGATTTTTTTTTTCTTTGTTTGTGAGGTTGAAGGTTTAATTCTCAAGCACGCATTTGTAGAACTTTAAATGAATGCATGAAGTTTTCCAAATATGAATTTGAAAAACAACAGGAAAAAAAAAAAAAAAAAGTGGTGGCAGTGTGCAGGCTGTGAATTAAAGTGAGGCAAGCAGCGAAGATTCTCCTGCTCAAAGCCAGATTTGATAGCATTGCAAAAGACGAAACCGAAGAAACAAACAAATTTTAGGGTATTAGGCAGAGAGATGCACATCGACTCCTACTTTACTCAACTTAACCTCCAAAAAATGTGTGCCTTACGCCTGCCCTCCTTTCATGCCTAGGCTTTCGCACTCATTCACTGAAACTAACTTTTCCTTTTCGAATCCGAATTTCGAAGCTACAACCGACAAGTTTCTCCAGTTTTCTTTCTCTAAATTATTGCCCTAGCAGTTCCAAAGCATATACGACGACTCAAACTGATCGATAAAAGTAGTTCCAGAACATACCTGAATGCCTCACCGCTCGCCGGACAGCAAATGCAAGAGAGACCGTTGTCGTTGCCGTCCGCACGATCAGGCGATGGTTCCGATGGAAATTGAAAAAGAACCGTAAACAAAATGAGCCACAACCTGGACGAGGACTCGATCTGTAGAGCAAGTTACAGAAATGAAGAAATCTTGAAGATCAAACCGATCTCTAGGGCTAGAATTGAGAGAAAAACGGAGACCGATCGCTCATCAGCGAAGGAAAGAGGAGAGAGAAAGAGAGAAGAAGAAGAAGAAGAAGAAAATGTACAATTACAACGACGATCTTTCACTCCGTAATTCAATCCGGATCGATTTGAAACTTGACATTCTTCTGTAGAGCTTCTCCAAACTTATTGAATACTCTTAATTTATATTAACAAAAAACAACAAAAACAAATTTAATTTATAAATAATAATAATTCTCGTTAAAGAAAATCATAGGAATTATTATTATCAAAACAATTAATTTATTAAAATGAGCATAATTTAATCTCTCCATTAATTTGGCAGCTCGGTCAGAATCCTGGTCTCCTCCCACTGCTTGGAAGCTTACGGTTTCGTATTCTATTTCACTCCCCGATAGGGATTCTTTTCACCCTTCCCTCACGGTACTACTTCACTATCGGTCACCCAGAAGTATTTAGCCTTACAAGGTGGTCCTTGCTTATTCACACGGGATTCCACGTGCTCCATGCTACTTGGGTCAGAGCGTAAGCTTGTGATGCTTACGACTACTGTAATTTTTTCGTTGGATAACAAGACCATCAATAATTGAAAAAATGACCTGTGCCTAAGATATTTTACTATGCTCGGACAAACAAAGTCGAGTTCAAACCCTAGCTCGAAGTAAAGACGAGTGTACACAACAACGCGACAATCCTACTTTCTAGTGCCTTTCACTAAACTAAGTAAGAACTGAACAGTCAAGAAACATAAAATCTCATATCACATCTTAACCGAACACAGAAACAAGACAAACAATACAAAGACCTAACATAATTTCCTCCCGATTTTCACATAAAAGGACATAAACGAGTAGCGCATTCGATTTACTACTCGACGACAGCGTCTCTCGAGATTATAAACGGCTCGATTCAAATAGTTGATTCAAACAAAATACCCACTTCAAACTCCAAATATCAAGCAAGTAGAGGCATTCAATGTTAAAGGCCATTTTTAGAACAATAAATGAATTAGGTCAATAATAGCATACAAGAAATAATAAATTTATGCTCACTTCATACCCCACAGGACACTTGACCTATGAACAAAGACAAAAACAGAAGCAAACATGTCAACAATGAAAAACACCAATAATTCAACATCATCTTAGGCTATGAACAATAAGTTAAA